GGTGATGCAGCTTCCAATCAGCTCTTTTGGATAGATCAATCAGATATAATTTAAATCTCAATGTGAAAACTGGAGACACATATTAGCACCAGGAATATGTAATCAGGTTGAATAATATCGAAATAGAAAAGAGATTCATTTTAATCCGACTGTATATTAATTTCCAGTCTGTCTTTCTGTGGATACATTTTGTCACCAAGTTAGCTTCACAACCAGGCGAGCTCCAGTCACAGAACGTAATAGGTGTGGAGTTGAAATTTAAGTTAAGGCAAAGTTTGACTATGGGTGTAAACCTGAGCAAGGACTCTGGAAGTAGAGATTTAGGAAGTGGGGGAGGGGGAATAGGCCTACTTTATGCCCCTGGCCCGATTTGACATTGAGGCTGATCCCATCACAGGGTGGTCTCTAATAGAAAAAATGTTTGTGAAGCCGTATTAATGACCGTCTGTGTCCTGACTGTCTGCTGAGGCATGGTTTGTCAGACGTTGTAGGTTTCAGCCACACTTCAGGTTTGATCAAAGCTTCAGTGGTGTATGGGGGAGATAGTAACCCCTGTCTGTGGTCAGATGGTGTTTGATCTCCTGGATCTTTCTTGATTGATTTAGGATCATGTGGGGGTTGTGATCGGGCCAGCACTGCTATTAGAGAAAGATTATAAGGATTGACATGTGCAGAAAGCAGTTACAAAGCATGTGCAGAGATTAGTTTCCACAACAGCAACATGATGTAACTAACATTTGTTCCACCACAAGTATCAGTTACTAATAGGGCTGTACCCGAATATCCGAATATTCGTTCGTTGGAGTACTATTCGGGTTTCAATTTCGTTATTCGGATATTCGTTTTTTTTCGTTTTCTTTTTATTTGAAATTGAATTTATTGAAATCTCCAATATCAACATAAGAGCTTGTGCCTCTTCGGGGGGTGCTAACACTTAACCATAAACGTTATTGTTTACTTTTTCCGTCTTTATATGTAGATATTACTTTTTCTCCGTTAATCTCCGTCACGTTGTTTCCATAGCAACAACAACTTCCTGTCAACAGCGCTAACTCTCCTTCAAAATAAAAGCATGTCCATACAAAATAGGAAGCCAAGCCAAATTACACTTAAGACATATATGATATACAACTGCAACGAAAGTAACAAACACAATGCAATGTCCTTTTCAATTTCAAAGAACACAAATTGGGTTGTATACATTAACAAATAACTATAAAACAACAATACTGTAGAATAACAAAATGAATGCCGTGAATAAACCGAAATACACGTGTTGAAGCGGTTCGCTGCTAATTACCCCCGCGCGGGCCGAATATCCGAATATTCGCTGCTGATTACTACCGAATATCCGGAGCCCCGAAAAATGGTATTCGGGACAGCCCTAGTTACTAAGTATCAGCTCTCTGCCAGAGAGCTTCAGCAAGCCTTTAGGAGTATAATTAAAAACCTGTCACTCTGTCAAGTGATGGGGATGGATCATTGTCTTCGGAAAAAGGGAACATTTGTGATTCGTATCCTGCCTCCTCATAAGAATCTGATTTTAAACCCCATGTTTAAACCTTATACGTGTACGGCAACATATCACTGGATGATAGGATCACATCTAATACCCAGTAAGCCCTAACCCTTTCAATCCGACCCCCTATCATCCCTGTCAGTTCAGCACAGAGATGCTTCATGGTGCTCAGATTACAATTAAGGCTGCCATTCATAGGGTTCCCCACTAGGGCTATCCCGAATACCATTTTTCGGGCTCCGGATATTCGGTAGTACTCAGCAGCGAATATTCGGCCCGCGCGGGGGGTGTGTAGTAATCAGCAGCGAACCGCTTCAACACGTGTATTTCGGTTTATTCACGGAATTCATTTTGTTATTCTACAGTATTGTTGTTTTATAGTTATTTGTTAATGTATACAACCCAATTTGTGTTCTTTGAAATTGAAAAGGATATTGCATTGTGTTTGTTACTTTCGTTGCAGTTGTATATCATATATGTCTTAAGTGTAATTTGGCTTGGCTTCCTATTTTGTATGGACATGCTTTTATTTTGAAGGAGAGTTAGCGCTGTTGACAGGAAGTTGTTGTAGAAAAAGTAATATCTACATATAAAGACGGAGAAAGTAAACGATAACGTTTATGGTTAAGTGTTAGCACCCCCCGAAGAGGCACAAGCTCTTACGTTGATATTGGAGTTTTCAATAAATTCAATTTGGCAGCCGCAGTGCAGCGAAAAAAAAGGAATATCCGAATAAGGAAATTGAAACCTGAATATTCGGATATTCTGGTACAGCCCTATTCCCCACTGGTAATAATCCAGAGTGTGTATGCATGCACAAACTCCGATAGGCAGCTGATACCTCGGAGATGGAGGCCAAAAAAGAATCATCAGCTGCTGAACAGCATTGGGATTATAGATGAGATTAAACGTTTAATCTGAGTCTGAACCCTCCACAGCTTGCTCAGACACAAATATTTCTAGAAATCTTCTACAATCCTTTGCTATTAATCTTCAATCAATCTAGTGAGTTAGTACGACTACAGTAAAACCTCAGCATGAGGAGGGGACAGTAGTTTCATAGAACAATACACAAATTATATTGTAATATTGTTGTGGAATTGTAAAAAATATTAGCATCAATTACTTAGGTAGAAGAGTTTAATTTTGCCTCCCCCCGTGATATTATACATTGCATAGTTTTCTGGCACTTAGTCAGCCAAACTCTTTCTTACTTCAACTACAGCCCCCTTTATCAATAACCCCCATGTTTCATAAGGTGTTATACCCCACCATTAGGCGGCTCTAAGAGGCTAACAAAGTTCCACCAGAAACACATATATATATATACGTATATCAAATATACCATGATAAAGGAAACGCATACAGCCGTGACAAAGGATAAACTCATGTTTTAGTAGGACCTGTTTTCTGATCTGCTCATGTTTTAATTCGCTGTTAATGCATGATCAATACTCCTATACTGTTATTATCTGTCTTGATAAATACAATTCTGCAAAAGAAGATCAAATTAGGGTGTATTGCAAAGTAGCTTTAAACATACGAGGAGTTTGCCTGGGTTAAAGTGCATACATAAACACAGCAACAAGAACTAGAAAGAAAAAAAATAACTATTATAAAAACTATAATACTAAAAAATAAATGTTACTAAAAAATGTTGGAAGAAATATAGATACACTAAAACTTTACAAATATATAAAAAATATACAAATATATAAAATATATGCGAATAGGACAGATGACTATGAAAGGTGCAATGTGCAGTGCAACATAATTTAAAGTGGAAAGGTCACTTACTCGATCAATTCTGCTCTAATTTTATGTTTTTACAGAAATACTTTTCTCTTAACAAATGATGTACAATAGTTTTCAGTGTAGCTTTTGTTTCTTCTACTTAAATACTATCAATCAGTCTCAACACGTCACATTAAAAACCTCAGTGGCTTTTAATCTGAACCAGAAAGGAAAGGATTACTCTGCTGAAGGAAGTATAAGTGTTACTGACGGAGAGAAACAGAGCAGTAGGAGCAGCTGGAGGAAATTAGAGAATAGAAACTGGATCCAAGCTAAAAAGAGAAAGTGCTGTGGAAGTGTTCATCGTACAAAATGTACAGTTTTCCTCAAAAATAAATGTTTTTTTTAACCTTATCAGTCATTATATAAAAACAATCTTATATTTAAGAATATATGGTATATCACCATAGGTTATTGGGATTTTACCTGGAATATGGCTATTAATAGACAAAATGAGTCCTCAATTTATTAAACTTAATCAACAAATGATTCTTGAAACAATCAGAGCAATGCTGCTTATAATAATAGCAGTTTTTGAATTACTAGTTGTTCCTCGTGTAGTTTTATTGTAGTTATTAGTGTAGTTCAAGTCTTAGTAACACTTTTTACTTCTTAAAGTTAATTTTTTTTCTTGTAACTACTGTAGTGTACGCCTCCATTGTACTCCTTTGTTTACTTCAGTAACATAGTGACATCACTATGTAACACTTACGCTTCTATTTGCAAGCGCTCCAACACATTGTACGGGGGCGGGACATCTCTAGCGGTTGACCAATCACAACAGAGCCGGCCAGCTAACCAATCAGAGCAGATTGGGCTCTGGTTTCAGACAGAGGGTGAAAAGAGGTGCTGCAGCACAGGCAGTATGAGAAAAATAAAGAGCTTTTTGAACATTAAAGCATGGAGACATGTCCCAGTAGAGACACTACATACTGATATGAACCTGGAAGTGAGCAGAATAGGGCCTACGTCAACTTTAAGGAGTTGGAGTAGTGAAATTGGTTGTAGAAAAAATAAGTCAGGCATATTCATTTATTATTCCATCTTTCTTGTAATCTAATATGTTTCTGGTGCTCTTGCGAAGTGCGAGACATGTAAAAATAAACAAAAGAATGGAAGAGGAAATAGATATGTGCACATGGTGAGATAAGGACATTATGTGAACATATAAATATCCCCTTGCACGTACGGTCCAGATATGAAATTTGACCCAAAATAATATTTTTGGACCAAATTGTGTTAATCTCCCTCCACATAAAAATTGAAGGAAAAATATTGAAAAGTACTGTTCTACTTCATTAGATTATGAAGATAAACCTGTGATGGTGCTCTGATGTGTGTGAATAACCTTCAGCAGTCTTTCTCTACTCCTCATCTACACACACCTCTATATTCCACACAACACACTGACTCTGATCACTTCTGTGACTGAGACTGAGCTTTAGGCTTCAGTTGATAGAAGTTTGTCAGGTTTAATTTCTCAGACAGTATTATATGCTATCCTGGATCCAAAAAGGTGGTCGACACATCTTCTGTCACAGCCTGAAAACCCACCTGTTACCACTGCACCTTGGCTAAAAACGAAAAAGTTTGGCTTATTGAAAGCTATGTACTTGCAGGATTCTTGCTTAAACCTACAATATAAATAATCATGTGTTCTCTCCCTCTCTTTGTTTGTCCCTTGCAGAGGATGAACCCATAGTTTTTGCCACCAACTCCCTCCAGAGGCGTAAAAAGGGGCTGGGCCTAACCGGCCTGCGCTCCAGCGGCTTCGACTCCATGCGCTCCAAGAACAAACCGGGCCTGATGATCGGCCTGCCTCAGAACTTCAGACAGATCTCGTCCATCATCGATGTGGACATCTTACCTGAGACACACCGGCGCGTACGACTCCACAAGCACGGCACCCACAAACCCCTGGGCTTCTACATCCGGGACGGAGTGAGCGTGAGGGTGACACAACAGGGCGTAGAGAAGGTGAGAGAAAATGTTCATGATTAAAGGTCTTTGATTCATATTAGTTATAAGATTTTCATGTTTTCTTCTAAGACATAAAATAAAATGAAATAGTTCAGTGCACTGGTGAACGTGTGAAATGTTTACATGTTTTAAAAACAGATGTTGCTAACAAGTGGCTACATGAGACACTGTGAGTCACATGATTGTTATGTAGTTTGTTTATAGCCTAACATTAGCTACGTACTTTTGGCAATCCCATTAATGCCTCAACTTTGTAACAGTTAAAACAAAATGTGTTTGCCACAGATCTTATTTTCTACAATATGCCAAAATCCTATGGAAATATCCCATTGCTCATGGTAGATATAGAGAGATGTATACCTGCAACATTGAGGTTTTTTTCTCCGTCCTCCTGTAGGTCCCAGGGGTGTTCATTTCTCGTCTGGTACGTGGGGGGCTCGCAGAATGCACGGGGCTGCTGGGAGTCAATGACGAGATACTCGAGGTCAACGGCATCGATGTAGCTGGGAAATCTTTAGATCAGGTACATTTAAAATGTGTTGGATTGAACGTGCAGTTTCTTTTTTACCGTGAAACAGACTGCAAATACCTTTCCTAGGGCTATTTGCCTTGGCGCTTTGGAAAGGTGTCTTTGTTTTTAAATTAGTTAGGGTTAGGGGTGGCTGTTACAAGGTAAAAACAAAAAATGCTTTGATTTCAGGTTACAGACATGATGGTGGCCAACAGTCACAACCTCATAGTGACCGTCAAACCGGCCAACCAGAAGAACAACGTGGTGCATCGTGGGAGTAGAACCTCAATGGGCAACTCTGGTTCTGTGGGCTCAGCTGGATCTGCCGGCTCCGCCCTGTCACATGACTCACCAAGCCCCGCCTCCCAGAGCAACCCCATCACAGCGAGGTATGGCATTGAGAGGACCCCTCACTCATATTTCATGTTGAATGTCTGCATTTTGTTCATGATCACTTGACACATTGCGCATATTTTTCTGCTTTGATGTCGGCTATGTTCCCATAACTTTAAAAAAAACGCATGAACATCTGTTGAGAAGGTAGAACAAAATGTGTTAGCATTAGACCGTACATATTTATAAGTAACTTTTAAGGTGGTTCAACTAAAACTGTTTGGTGTATAACAAACACACAATATTAATCATGGTTTGGTTTCATTGGCTCAGTCTTCTCCAGTGTAAAGTCAACTTAATGCAACTCTCTTGCCAATTACAACTTTGTAACCTACAATTGAACAACAACTAAACTCGTTTTTTACATACAGGCACAAATATATACACTATATAAATAAATATATACATTTGACAGATAAAGAAACATATATCTCATGAGGTGGTGGAAACCAAAAACAGAGCAATTGGAATCGCATTCATCAAGTAAAACAAAAAGAGAATACATAACTAACTTTAGTGGTTATTTGCCTTCTTGTTTTTTGCAACCTCAGAAACACAACTTAAAAACGTTGCAACCTAAAAATAAACAACAACCAAACTTATTTAAAGGGACAAATATATATACATAAGACACAGATATTTCTCTCAGGAGGTGGTGGAGACCTAAAAGACAATATTTGGACTCATAAAAACAAAAGTCAAAATGTAATCCTTATTTTTTGCAACCACAGCAACAGCATCGCCGAGGGCGACAGTGATGACGACGATGACGAAGGCGACCTCATCCTAGAGAATGACAGCATGATACTGTACGACTCCAGCCGGGTAACCAACAGCAACAACACTAACCTCAACAGAGACTCACCTAGCAACAGGCCCTTCCCACAGAGCGTCTCATTGCCCAATAGCGTTGGGGCTTCCCTGAGCGACAGCTCCGTCTTGATGTCCAATCACAACGGAAACCCCGCCCACACATCTAGTAGCAGTCAGGAGAGCATGCGAGAGGACGGCAACATAATAACACTGTAACCATGGCAAAACTGAACGCTACATGAACAGTCAGGACTATGAGGGGCTGTAACCATGACAACTACAGATGGCTGTGCTCCAGTCAGACTCAGCAGGACAGACGGCTCTGCCACACGTTGCCGGGGTTACTGTCAGGTTCATCATTTATTGATTAAATGCTAACGTGTATGAACTGATCACTGTAGACTTATAGAGAGCAACATGATTGAACATTGAAATGCTCCTGTAAAAGCCATAAGTCAGTTTGATGTCTTAAAGAAATCATGTCATATCCAAAATTGCTTGTGAAGTACTCGATCTGAAACATCACCATCCACTGCAGGATGTCTGACTCGTTCACCATGAAGAGAACATTATGAAGTTAAACATGAAGGGCTCTTTTTGCTTGTCAGCACAACGACCAGTGCAAGCAGCGCTCGGACAGTTTGTGTTTCCTGTCGGCTGCCAATCTGGGGTGTCATTGACATGAGCAAAATAAATATTTGCAGCAATTGCACAACCATATTGGAGTTAAAAATGTAACAACCACTTGCTTTTTCAACATTGTAAAATGAAAGTTTAATGTGGATAAAGCAGGAGCATTGATCTAGAAATGAAAACACTGTAAGTCTCTTTCTTCTTCAGTATGTGCTGTTCACAGCTGTTTTATACTGTGCGCAAGGTTTCTTCTTCGGGTCTTTAAATCCCTGCAGACACCTGAAAGCAGCACGCCTCACGTTGATAGATCTGCAGCCTCGACAGCTGTTTTAGAGGCAATGATGTGATTGGCTGAGAGCATATTTATTAAGTGCATATTAAGAGAATATCATCCCACCCTTACATTTATATTCCACTACAGACTGCGCCTACATGAAGCAGAGGTGGAGAGGCCACACACTGACCTGCAGCTCTGCACTGGTTGTTGTTATTGTAATGTTAAAATAGCGCCCAAGTTGTATTATAAAACATTAAAACAACAAAATATATTGAAGACAAATTCAATGGGTTGAACGTTTTTAAAAAGGGATTTGATGATATTTGCAATACTTTAAACATTTAGATTTTGTATAAACTAAATCAGTCCAATCAGTCTCATTGGTTTCAAGTCTTTTTATATACTTTAAAATAAATGTATATAAAAAAATTAACATAAAACAACATTATTTAATAAGGTTGGTCAGTTCTTCGATATTGTTTGGCTAAGATTTTTCTCTTTGCAAATATGGGAACGCAATCACTGTGAATCACATTTATCATTATTCAGATTTACAAATCATCTCGTCAACAGTTGTTCTGATAGGATGTGCATAAGATGGAAAAGATTGTTAAATGGAGGGTGTAGATACACAGTTAATATTCTTTATGCACACACACACTGTTAACTGTGTGTGTGCATGAGGCCTTGTCTTTGTAGCTGGAGCTCTGGGGATATTGCCTTACAGTCAGAAATGTGGGCAAACAGCTCTTTCTGCTTCACATTCTGCCTCCAATGACAGCAACATGTTTTTGTCTGACTGTCAAACTGAGTCATTGTCATGGTTTTGTTTATGAAATAAAATCAGCTATATGATGCAACAGAGGCTCATTCTCTCTGTCAACATGCTACTACTGTTATATCCTTTAGTTTATCACCCATCCGAAATAAGAATCACAATAACCTGGTTGAAATACTATACAGAGTGTGCTTGTGTTTAGTGACCTCTGACAGTAGAAATGCTCTTTAACTGACCCCGCTCAGAACAGCCCTGGTGCCCTGGGGGGGCTGCAGGAAACCAAGTTTTCTTTCTATCTTGAGCGCAAGTCAAACAAAACGTTGACATTGAAGCCATTAACAACTATCGAGAGAACTAAGACTTACTTCAAAGCAATCTTTGTTGTTAGTAGTTGTAATTAGAATATGACAGGTTGGCTGCCTTCTTCAGTGATGGTTGTTCCCTCTTGTTCCAGAAATAATTGACCAATCAGGGCTTGGTAGGCAGGATCACAAATGTGTACATCATCGTCTACATAGAGCGGTGCACGAATGAGTCTTGAAACCCGGACATTTTGATTAAAAAGTTAGCATTTTACTGCTTCTGGTTCCCTCATTTCCAAGTCAACTTTTTTTTAACGTGTTTTCTGTTGGATGCCTGAAATAAGATCATTGGTTAACACAAGCTAAATAGATTTTTCCACGTTTTTTCTACGACATAAAATACATCGGTAAACACCCCAACTGCCATGTCCGAAGCTTCTATGAGTCATAAAAACAGCAGTGGCTGGTGACTAAATGAGACTATAAAACGTCATCACGCCAAACATTAGCCATGCTTAGCTTAGCTGTGCTGATGCGCAGCCATGCGACTGTGATGTAGTTCGTTTATAGCCTAATGTTAGCTTTTTAATTCTGGTGATTAAGAGTAAGTATCATAAATGGTATTTGCCACAGAGATTATTTTCTGCAATATTCCAAAATCCAATAGAAAAACCCATTGCTTTTTGACGAAGCTAACTGTTGGGCTACGTCATCACTGCAACACTCTATAGCTTCGTATGTGAAACAAAGTGAGAGGAAAATGGCAGCAGAAATGGTGACAAGCACTGCAGAGAATGTTATCAACATATTTCTTTAATGACCAGTTAAGGCAGACACATTTCTGACACGCTGTTATTACAGAAAGGTCATTGAGTTCCTCCTTCAGGAAACAAGAGTTAATTTAAAGACTCACGACATACTCAAAGTATCATGATTCTCAAAGCTCTCCAAGCCCTACAAATGAAACATGGGAATGTGTGGGTGTGGGGTTAGGGTTTGGTTTAGCTAGTGTTGGACACATTCAGATAAAACAGCTGTCATCGTATAAATCTTGCTTGTCACACATTCCCATATTTGTAACACCTAAAGCACACATTACATTGATTACCAAATTGCTATAGTCCCTAATCCCAGCACTTGTATGTGTACAGCCTAGCCTGTTGAACTGCTGAGTCAAAATACAGTTCAAATCTAATACTAAATTGTTAATGGCGCCACTCTTCAAATGATGTGCTCAGTTTGGAAATAAAAGCCAGTCAACAGGTAATACACACCGTCATGCTGAAACAAAGTTACTGAATGAGGTCCTCTGAGGCTGAACTGGATTTAGTCAAAGTTTGATGTCAACAACTGCTCACACACACACACACATGCAAACACACGCACACACACATACACAAACACACAGTCACTTTTTAAATGTATGTTGATGTTAAAAGTACATTTACGGTAATGAAACATGGGAGATTTTCATTAAGAAGTTTGTAATTAAGAGAACATTTTATAATATGTGTAAAATATGGAGAGTATTTTTATTATTCTTGTACTTTTAAAATTGTATATGAGAGAAGCCGAAGGTGTGTGCGATGTGTTAACAGGCACACAGTGTTCTGTTTGTGTTAGCTTAATTAATGAAAAATGAAGGATGTCTTTACCACAGACTGGTATATCTAAGGTTCAACTGAATTTGTAATGAATGCCTCAATGTTCATGTTTTTGATGGAAATCCTGGAATATTGCTCAAAAGTCTTGAAAGATCCCCCTATTCTTGGAAGAACCAATTCAAGGTTCATATGTTATCTGCTTGTCATGGCCTAAAACTTTACTCATAATTGTATAAATAATTGACCCTGTTGTTGTTTGATTGACATCTGTATATCTAAGCATAAGGAATAATGGAGATACATTGAGCTATTGATAGACATTTGAAAGCAATTACTGAGCAACCATTACAAAACTCAAGTGGATAACAACCAGGCAGTGGCGCTGGAAGCAGGGGGGCCAAGCGGCCAATGGCCCCCCCACTTTACAGCCCTGCCGCGGAACACTACATCCCCTTTCAATAATTCCCCTCTACTCTAAAGTCGCATCTAAAATGAACGCGATCTGAGAAGGACTGTTCTTGCTAGTAACGGTTTACGCCGAGTCCTTGTCATTCCACTGACCTGCACATTTGGACTAGTGATGTGTCGGTCGCGAACGGGCCGTTTTTTGGGGGGATTCTTTTGTTAAGTAATACAAGACAGAATGATATGATGATCTCCGCGCTACGGGTGCTCCGTGCATGCATGCAGTGACATGTCATATCCAAGGATTAGAGACTGTTGGATGCTGCTGTTTTGAGCATTGCAATATTTTCACTATGTTATTTATTTATGATTATCTTTAGGCTCAGCAAAGATTTGATGTCAGCTTTGCTGTCTTTTCTTCTTTAGTTAAAACTGAAATAGAGCCCTGCGGTTTTGTTAGGGCTTTTTCTTTAAATACATTTTTAAAATGTCGATACAGTAGCTGTCCTTTTTTTAAATGCCTATGCTTACGTTTTTATAGGTGTTGCTATCTGCTTTGTGTAGCGTGGTTCTACAAGCAACTGCATTCATTGGGTGGTATCAGAGAGTTACAAGGGTCTGTAAATGCAATGAAAACAATTGGCCACAGCAAATCATTTATATTAAACATTTAATTTTTACTTTTGAATACTTCAGTACAAAGGATGTATTGAATAATTTAAGTGATATATGTGCACACATATAAATCATTAAGTTGAGTTAATAACTGGAAAAATTGCCCAAGCCTCCTGGACAGCCACGAAAAGTCTCATTTTCACAGTGTGTTCAAAAAAAGTGCGCTTACTTCAGTCAAACACCAGTCAACATTCAACTTGTCAAACAAGAGCGTATTGAGCAGGAAAAAAGGAGAGATGGAATGATGGAGCAACTGCGCTGTCTGCAGTTTCTAACCCGACAGGGCCTGGCAATCAGGGGGCATGCGGATAAGGAGAGCAATTTCCAAAAGCTAGTCGAACTCGTAGCTGAGAAAAACCCCACTCTGAAAAGCTTCATGCTCACCGGGAAATATGCATCACACGAGACAATCAATTAACTCATACATGAAATGTATCGGGAGTCTCTCACCACTCTATTAACTGAAATGAAAAGCAATGCAAAACACTATGCAGTTATTGTGGATGAAACTCGCGATTGTGCCGGGCATGAACAGTTGTCTCTGACTATATGGGTATCAGCTGATTATACAGGCACGAGCAGAGCCACAAAACATGTCAATAATGTTTTGTGGAAAAATGGCAATGGTCCTGCCATATATGATCCGATCACCACTCACAAGCTCTCATTAACTCTGACTATGTTTCACAGCTTCTTCTGGTCTATGGTACAAAAACACTAGCTAGCTTACACACCCTGACGCACAGTGAATCAAGTGCTGTGTCTCAATTTGAGGACTACTGTTTTACACTTGCCATTTTGAGTGCACAACTAGCAGCATCACAATTGGAAGTATGGCTAAATGCAGTGAACTATACCCGGATGGTACGGCTGGACACTTCTCACACTCAACGACCGCCATCGTTGCTAAATAACAAAAGTTATGAATGTGTTTTTTCAGAAACATACTACTGGTGTCAAAAAGTAGCCACCATAATTTCATAGACTTAATTGAGCAGTCCGTGGTGACTTGGTACTGTGATTTAGCTCACTGCTAGGTACTGTAGCATGTCACTTTAAGCTAGCTAGCTAGCAATAGCAATGTACAGTGAGGACACAGCAGCAGTGTGCGATTATCATTGTGCTAAGCTAGGGTAAACATGTCCAGAGACTTATCTGACAATAAAAGGACTGCTCATGGAGCCGAAGGATCAGTGTAATACTAGTTACTGTGAAGAAGTAGAGGTGACAGGGTTGCAATCCAAAAGCTTGTTGTACATTTTGTTCAATGACAATAAAGGCATTTATAAATAATAATAATAATAATAATAATAAATAATAATATTCTATTCTACTAACAATAAACCTTTCATGGGATTCAAAATGGCACTTTTGGAAGAAAGATCCACATATGGAGTTCTAGCCTGTATGATCTCTCCTCTCCTCTCCGATGATGATGATGATGATGATGAAGACGAAGATGAAGATGAAGATGATGATGATGATGATGATGATAATGATGATGTCCTGCCCTGACTGTGGGGGCTTATAAAAAACAAAGGAAGTGCCTTTCTGATGATTCTTGTGTTTCTTTTGTTCTGTGTGATGTCAAAGGATGGGGGCCTTCTATAGGAGTCTGTAACTTAACTGTGAATGTCAAATGAAGGTCAAATACGATGATTATCAAAACTGAAGTATAATTAAAAGCCATAATGTGTGTTTTGATATTGCATTTAAGTCCTTCTCTTTTTTTTTCTCTTGTCTAATTTTTTCATAACTTCCGTTGTTTTCCTTTTTTTCTCCACTCTTTAATTTCTTAAATGGTTTTATTTATTTTCTGGCAATATTTTCTTTGTGTGTTCTTTCCTTCCTTCCAGGAGACGTTGCTGTGCGTCCCTGTTACCAGCAGAGAGCAGCACATTTATTCTGTGTCTCTCAGAGCTCCATCAGGTGATCATGGGGTTAAGTTAAGACCTCGCACTCTCAGCCTCCTGCTAATGAAAAAGGAAGAAATGTCTAAAATGATTCCAGCAGCAGGGCCCATGTGCAGAAATATGATCAGTTTAAACAGAGGTGATATCCATTACAGGATTAGCTAAACCAAGCACTGCGGCTGTTTGTTTAACTGCTGCTAATAGAGGCTGTTTATACGGCTGGAGGAAATGGGCTGTGAGAGGTGGAGGTGGTGGAGAGGACAGAGAGAGAAACAGAAACTAAGCAGCCTCTCAACCTACAGCTGTGCAGAAAGCCTTCATTCATACAGGGCTGTGGTCTCAACCTGCTGCACATGAACCCCCCCACTTACAGTACGGCCTGTGAAGGCACACATGGATCTCATGAGCTCGCCGTGCTGCTAATCTGCTTGAGTGTGTAGTCTTAGCTGTTAGCATGCGATTACGCAAATTAATCACATTTGACCCCAACTTCCACCCGTAGTTCCAGCCCGGATGATTACCAGGAACTGGCAAAATCTACATGTATGCACCGACACATGGGCATCCAACCCACTCTCAAGGCATTTCGTGTAATAGTCACAAAATGTATTTAATCTATTGATTCGTGTTCACCAACACGAATTTCCCATTTTTTTCGTGTCACACAGAACGATTTTAAAAGCAATGTATTTCTATTGGTAGTATGTTTTGTGCCTGCACCACGTCTTTTTGTCCGGTCGGGTCTTGGAAGACCGGAAGCTGTGTGGTTCATAAAAACATTTTCTTACTCAATATCAAGCCACGATTATTGTTTTTATTTTAAATTGTATAATGTAGGACTTTTTTTGCTGTCCGCGAGGAAAATAAATGGGGCTCTGAGCCTCAGAATACTGAAATCAGTATTTTTAAAATCTTTTTTTCCTTCTAATTTGTTATTATTTGGTGCAGGCACGAAACATACTACCAATAGAAATACAATAGGCGCTTTCACACCGGAGTACTTTTCCCAGGAATAGTTCCGATAGTTCCTGGGATTTTGCGTTCACACCAAAAAGATCTGGAACTAGAACTTGCGAACCTTTTCACCCCTTTTTAGTCCCTGCTAGAGAGCAGGGACTTTCCTGGGGAGAAAAAGGTTCTAATTTCTGATTGGCTGGGCGAATTGCAAACCACGCCCCGTAAAACTCTGAAAAGTTTTTGTGAAGCCGCCATTTTATTTGCTTGCATTAGCATTATTAGTATTAGCATTAGCCTAGTGCACCAACGGAGAGAGACTAACTTATGGCAACACAAAAGAAAACATGGGAGCGGTGGAGTGATGTTGGCGCTTCTGGCGATTTACTCGGAAGGCTGAAGCCAGTCCCCCGGACTTCCGGCTGGGGACTTCGGGTGGCAGTATACGCCGTGAAGTTGTTTGCGGCCTGCCAGTAAACCCAAAGCAGAAGAAGAAGAAGAAGTGACGTCAGCGGCTCCCTCAGGGACTTATTCCGGTGTGAACGCAATTTACTAGATAGTTCCAGGAAATAAAAGTTCCGTGGAAAAGTTCTGGGAACTATTCCTGGGAAAAGTACTTGGTGTGAAAGCGCCTATTGCTTCTAAAATCGTTCTGTGTCAGAATACTGAAATCTGTATTTTTTTTAATCTTTTTTTCCTTCTAATTTGTTATTATTAGACAAAATAATGTGTGTGTCTGGGGTCGCTGTGTGTGTGCTTTTAAAATCGTTCTGTGTGACACGGAAAAAATTGGGAAATCGTGTTGGTGAACACGAATCAATAGATTAATTTTGTGACTATAACACGAAATGCCGTGAGACTGGGTTGGGGCATTAGCTTGTTTTGAGATAGCGGTGGAGACACTTTTTTCAGATAAAAAAACACTACTGTATTGCAAACACCCCCTCCCAGCCATATGCTAGTGACTAATGCTGCATTCCCTTTACATTGGAGGTCGAAGGTCGGAACTGGGAGTGACTTCACATTCGGGTTGAATCGCTCCAGTAGCAATGTCAGAAAAAGATGGCCGCCCTCATGAAAGTTGTTCCCTTTGTTTACAGCTTTCCATTGTTAGCAATACCGGCTCATATTTACGCTTTATTTTGTGAAAACAAATATCGTACAATTGATTTAATTTGACACAAATAATACAGAAGAGCTACAAATTATATATCAGGGTTGCCAACTCTCACGCATCTGGCGTGTGACACACGCTTTCACTCTCAATCTCACGCTCTCACGCTGCCCAAACTAT